TGAATGTATGCAAAAATGCATGTATGTAAAAACATTGATCCCAAAAAGTTAACTGTCATAGAACAACTTTCATTGGCATACAAAAGTTTCTTTATAGTATTTCATAACTACAGATAAGGCATAGCTTTCCTATTAAGCTCTATAATTTCTTTCATTAACCATGACACCTTCTTTCCGCACTTAGAAACTGGATCAACTTGATGCTCAATTATTTTGGCTTCAACAGCTAGTTCCCCAACATATCTGGCAACTTCGCTCATTTGAACCATGGCCTCGAACACCATATTACTTCTTTCTTCACTTCTTTCGACATAGAATTCAGTTGACTTTTGCCATTGCTCATTCGTTCCTTCAAGAGTTTGCTCTAACTCGGTGATTCTGACTTGGCAATTGTGCAGAATTTTTTCAAGATCTCTAATGCGTCTTCGCAGTGAAGCATTTTCCTCATTACTTTCTTTGAGATCATTAGGTCCTAGACGAACCTTTTCTTGAAACAATGATTCTTCAAGTTGCAAAATGTAAGCATTAAACTCTGAGTTTTTGTTTCTAGAATGATCCAGATCTTCTTCAAGTTTTGTTCGTGCTTCTTGTGTTCTTTGATTAAGCTTCTGGATTTGAACATCTTTGTTTCTGCATCTTTGCATCCAATTGCTAGCCACTTCCTGCTCTACCTCCAGTCTGGTGTTGAAATTTTTCCTTTCCAGCTCCCATTTTTCTTTTTCAATATTGGATTCTTCCATTTTTTGGCCTCTGACTTCAAGTTCAGCAATCAACTGGTTCATTTCAGATTCAAATCCCTTGAACATGCTATTTTTCTCGCCTTCAAATTTAACAAAGATGTCATTCTTCATCTCTTCTAAATCTTTGGCTCGATCCCTTTCTCTTTGCATTTCATTCATTATCTCGCAGTGCTCAGCCTTGTGTTTTATAATTCGCTCTCTTCTGTCAACCTCGAAATCTTCCATTTTTTGCTTTCCTTTTTCCAGGCTTTTGAGTAGACGGCTATTCTTTCCTTTCAGATCTTCAACTCGTCTTTTCTCAATGTTCAATTCTCTGGTCATCTGTACCGTCGATTGGCTGGGTCCTGATGCTTTTCGGGATTTGTATAACTCTTGGTAATCTTTCTGTAAGGCTCTGTACTCATCCTCACCTTTTTCTTTATCTTTTCTCAACATTGCACATTGTGATGAATGAAAGTCAATATCAACCCCCAACATAGCTTTATCTTGTCTCATTTGCTCTAATTCTTTCGACCAGCCATCTCTTTCTGCTTCAAACTCAGCTCTCAGGATTTCAATCTCTGACGGAACCACCTTAATGCGATCTTCCATAGAAATATCCTCGTTTTGATCTGGTAGAGGAATATTTTCATTTTTTCTGACAGATCTCCAATCTTCATAATCAGGAGTTAGCATTTCTTTTGCTGCTTTAGCTCGGATACAAAAAGTTGTTTTCCAAGCTGTAACGGCTTACATGATACTTCTTTTATAATTTTTGCTGTGGAATGCGAACTCAGATGACTGTAGTCCAGCAGTGACAGGTACAAATTGACGACCTTCATATTGTCTTATAATCAGAAGTGGAGCATATCCAATTCCTCCCCATAATCCGAGCAGCATTATCCAGTTGTAATCACCACATCTGTAAAAGAACTCCCTTTGTATTTGCCACGGGGCTCGCCAAACAACATCATTGCTTTGCAGATTTCGAAAGGCATTAATCCACATATCTTTCTTAATTTCTCTCGGCCATTCCTGCTCCAGAAATTCCTTTAATGGTGAATAATCCGTATTAAAGCGTCGGTATGAAACCTTTTCTGTTCTCCAGAAATGACTACGGATCCAAACATATAACAACTGAGTACACCCTGAGAATCGTCCACCTCCTAACCTTCTGCAAGCATTTAACGATCTGAAGGTTTCTGCTAGGATGGCAGAAACAGGGTTAATCTTCTTCGGTAGCTGTTCAAACAAGTCTACCACTGCAGCTTCAACATATCCCAATACTTTTGGGAAGATGACCATACCATATATACCCAGAGCAAATAGATCGAATCGTACTTTAATATCTGGATGACTCTGAATAAGTTCTTTGATGTTGGTCCAAGCAATGCCTTCGCTTTCGCCTTTTTGTTTTGTACGGGATGCTACCCATTCTTCTCGTACCCCGGCAATCTTTGCTAATTTAACTCGAAAGGGTTGAGTTTTAATTGACTTTGAATATATTCGATTCCCCAGAGCACCTTCAAGATGTAATAAAGTTGTATATTCTTCAATAGTAGGGACCAAGTCCTCCTTATTGAAAGTGAAGCAATTGTAACCTGGATTCCAGAATTGAACTAGGGCTCTGAGTAATTCATCATCAACTTCAACATAGAGCAAATATGGGATGTCTCCATAAGTCTGATAAAACTGTAATTTTTTGTTTGAATCCCAACTTTCCCAAATACCTCGCAAATCTTGCAGATCATTTCTTTTTAGTGAAACTGAAGCATAACTGGCCAAGTCAGATACATAATCATCCTGCAGACTGTCTCCTTCTTGTCTTTGTAAATATTCAGCCCACTGTCTTACTTCTGAGTTTAGAATTACTTGACTTGAACACTTTTTATCCATAGATGAAGGCTTTCCAATGAGACAATTAACACAAGGATCAATGTCTTTTATCCTGTATGATGCAATGCAAACAGAAAAATAAAGAACACACAAAAAGAAAATAAATTAGTTTACATAATAAAGAAATTTAATAATAACATTTACATAAATATTCTTTATTTAAACATGCTTTTCTGAATTTAAATAATTTAAATAAACATGTAATTTAAACAATAAATAAATTAACAGAAAATACATAATTCATTTCTCCTGTGTGTACACCTATTTTGGACAAAATTTCGGCATGACTTCGGATTGGAAGAGTTTCTAAGGTTTTTTATATGCAGGGTTTCAGATCTAAGAATAAAGGTACCCGAATTGTCCTTGTTAGTGCCCCCTTAGGTTGCTAACCCTCAATCCTAGTCCATTACAGACTAAAGTGGATCGAGTTCAATTCGAGGGGATACATTTCTCTATGCCTGACACGGAGAATAAATTCTCACGAAAACATAGAGTATATGAACCCCGAAAGTTACTTGCTAGGTCTGACACGGAGAATAAATTCTCACGAAGACGTCGCTTTCACTCCCACTTAAAAGGGACAACTCAATTATAGAGCTTTATGTAATGCAATGCAATTGTTGTGTGTGAGGAGAAATGTTCAAACCTTTGACAGAAAAATAAATACTGAAATAAAATACTTTCAAATAAAACATATAAATATTATAAAAATAATAAATAAATAATTTGAAAAGAAAGAATTAAAAATTAAATATATGAATTTTTAATTTTTAATTAATAAAGACAATTTATAATTGATTTTTTTTTAAAAAAAAGTTTGACCAGGTCCCCAGCAGAGTCGCCAAGCTGTCGTAACCGGTTTTCGTCCGGGCACGAAATATTATACTTGGCGGGGAAATTGATGTGAATAAATAGTTTTGAAAATAATTTGAGAGTCGCCATCGGCCTTTTGGATCAGGTAGGTCGAATACCTAAAAATTATTTTCTTTAAAGAGTTTTAAGAAAACATCAATAAAAAAAATGAACTGATCTGCGTTTTATAACCAAAAATTCGTTCTTTTTAATAAAAAGGGATTCGTGGTCGGTTACGTTTAGGGAAGGATTAGCACCCCTACAACGCCCAAAATTGGTACTTTTTAATTATAAATTGTCTCTATTATTAAAATTTAAAAATTCAAAAAAATATATTTAATTTTTAATCTTATTATTTCAAAATTATATAACAAATATTTATTTATTTTTAATATCTGAAAAGAACTTCTAGGTGCCTCAAGACAGCTCTTTTCTTTGATATTGATAAATATTGATTTAAATAATATTGTTTACTTTTTAATTTTAAAATATCAGAATAGGACATCCAGTTGTATTAAGACTGTCCTTTTTCTTCGATATTAAAAATAAATATTTAAAAAAATACTATTTATTATATATTTATAAAAATATTTAATATTTAATAATATAATAAAAATACAAATATTACTAAAACAATATATTTAAAAACAACAAAATAAATGAAAACATATAAAATAACTAAAAAAATAAAATTAAAAATCTAATTCATAATTAATCTAAATTATAGGGATTAAATATGTTATTTCTTTATTTGGTGACTAAAATAAAATTATCTAAAATTTGGATATTAGAATCAAATAAATTAAAAATATAAACTAAGGATTGAAATATTATTTATTAAAATTAATGGATTAAATCTGTAATTTATCCTAAATATATTATTTTAATATGAAGGACTAAAATGAATAAAATTAATTTTCGAAGACTAAATTAAAAATTATTATAAATTCAGTTTAGTGACCAAAATGTAAAATTTACAAATATGAAGGACTGCGGAAGGGATTTAACTTTTCCATAATTACGCGCATAGTCCTTCCCGAAACGACATCGTTCGGGAAGGACTATAAGAGTCCAAATCGGCTGGCCCGAAGGGCCAACCATTTCATTCCTCATTTCTTTCTCTCTCTCTAAACCGAGAGAGTTTAAAAACTCTCTCGCCTCTCTCTAGCTTCCCTCACCGGAGGGAAGCCGGTCACCGGTCGGCCACCGTGTGCCGCCGTGATTATCACCGCCGGCCACCGTATCCAGTGGCCGGAAAATTGTATTTTGACACCATTAAATAGATCGGGACGTCTTAAGGACGTTTCCGGTGTTCTTTTTCCTTAAGAAGCTCCCAATCGGAGCAAATCTACAAATATACCTTCGGTTTTTGTTGGTTCTGACGAGATCCGGTGGTCGAGGCTTCCTCGGTAAGTCTCCTCTTCCTTTTTCTTTTTTTTTTTTCTGGTTTTCTTGCTGCTGAGATCGTTGGTAATAGTTTGGATTTTCTCTGTTTTTTTTTTTATGTCTCTTTCTCGTCTCTTTTTTTTTCTGTCTCTCTGTCTCGTTGTATATCTCTGTCTTTTTTTTTTTTTTTCGCAGGTGGGTGGTGGCTTTTATAGCCACCACCGGTGTTCGTCTCGGACCGGTCCGAAGAGGGGGCTTCGGTGAGTCACCGGACTACCAGTGGTGACTCACCCCGTAGCCTTGCATGGACGGCTGGTATATGATCTTCTGGAGTCTTCGGTTGGGATGTGGCAGCGGCGGAGGCGGCGAGGGCTGTCGGCAGCCGCGTGGAAGCTGGAGCGGCGCCGCGTGGCCCTAGGGTATCAAACCCTAGGGTTTCCTTCTGGCACCATCTGGATCGTTGGATCTTATCAGATCCAACGGCTGTGAGCTGAGGCGGCTGATCAAATTAGGGTTAGGAAACCCTAACTGGAAACCCAAATATTTAGGGTTTCTAGTTGGATTTGGACCGGTTCTGGTTGGTTTGTAACTGGGCCGGTTCAATTGTAATTGGGCCTGTAATTATATTTTTTTATTATTTATTTATTTTTAATAATATTTATATGTATTTAATATATTTAATAATAATAGTAATAATAATAATAATAATAATAATAATAATAATAATAATAATAATGATAATAATAGTAATAATAATAATAATAATAATAATAATAATAATATTAATAATAATAATATGGATAAAAAATTAGTATCTTCAGTACCTAAATACCTAATTACCAGAGCAACCATATAACGAATGTTAATGTAGTAAAACGGAAGCTAGAGAAAGAGGAGGGGATAATGTGATGAAACAAGTGGAGAGGATAAAAATGAAAAAAAAACGGAAGCAATACTTACATGAATTACTAAAACCTGACAGTTCACTGCTACGATTTTGTCAATATTCTGAAAATTAGAATGGGAAAAAAACAGTAATGAAGGTCACTGCCTGCAAGATAAAACAAGAAAATAGAAATGCGGTGTAAAACACCGACTTGCCTTATAAATGTCAAACCAGTATGTCCTTTTGACAGGGTACAATACTCTCATGCCGGACAAAATTGGGCTATGTAGAACAACGCCTCTCAAGTTGGGCAAACGAGAAGCAAGATCAACCGTAGGTCCACTACCAACAGACTGACCACACAAAATTAATTGTTCATCTTTAACTCCATACTCTTCCTTAAGACACTTGTAAGCTGCATCTATGTCTGCATATGTATTACACTCAGTTGGCTGTTTCAAATAAAAGAAAGTGACTTTTAGATTACAGGTGTGTAGCAAGCAGTAAAATGTTGGTTCAATAAGTACAAGAAATCAGAAATGACATGGCTGCACAGAAAATTCATAGGTCTTGCTTGATACACATTGAACATGGCAAATTTGGATTTTAGATATTATAGAATAAAAAGAAGCTGCCCAACAGATATAACTCATAAGAACAAAAATCTTGCATGTAAAATGAACACTATGCTTCTTTAGCAGAAAAAGAGAAGCATTTTGTAAATTATTATTGTGTAACTATTTAAATGTTCATTGCAATAGTTAAATTGCTATAGAAAACATGGATAAGGGAAACTTTTGTTCTCAAAATTAGCAACAAAAAAGATAAGCCAAATAACCAACCTTTCCAGTTGACTGACCATAGCCAGAGTAATCATACCTACAACGAAAAGGTGATATTAGGAATAGTAAAATAAATTAATATAAAATAAGGATAGACTAAAAATAAACCCAATAAGAACAAAGATATGATAAAATGTTCTACTTTCAGTAAGTCTAATTACCTGCACAATCATTTCATGCGTCTCTAAAAACAATGTCAAGAACTTTATAGGATAAGATTTCCAAAGTAATTTTATTTAAAATCTTGGTTAATTTTTCCCAAAAGTTCTAGATGCTTAAGAAAAGGAGAATGCTGTCAACTAGTCTTAGGCAGGTTGAGATTCTGATGAAAGTTCATATGTTTGAATGACATATCCATTTTGCATCATGACTCACATAACTTTGGAAGGTACAAGAATTGAAGAGTCCGTAGTTCACATTCTCCTACAAAGTATTAATGGAATACAATTTGTTGATTTTATTTTGTGTTCATAGGTACTTCTCAGTCAGTGCCTAATTCTAAGATTAACCCAAGTTTTCTCTTTGAAATATTGCATCAAGCTCATTTCTTTCTCTTCCGTATCATTTGTTGGTGTTAGTTAATAACATACTTATCTTCAAAACATTCATCGAGACTTAGTTAGTGAAGTACCAACACTAATAAAAAAGGAAACTGCATCACATCATGCAATTACAAGACACACAGTGCTTGCCTATAGAATGAAAAGTCAGCAGTTTGACAACAAACAAACACAACTGATCAAGAAAACAAATAAACAGCAGGTCATCATTTCCAAATGAAGCTGTCAAGCTTGATATTTATAGTAAAAAGAGAATGCATAGCAGCATATGTCACAAGCAGAACTGAGACTGTTAATAAATTGATACCAGAAGGCGATACAAAAGCTGCAACTTAGAACTACAGAAACAACAGCCCAAATGAACTAAACTAGCACAGAAACTTCTTAGAAACCATTTTAATAGAAATGGAAACAGGACCTAAAAAAACTTCCATACAGAAGTGGTTGATTATTAAATCAGTGAGAAAAGTTACATACATTTTTCATTGTACATTTTCATGACATAAATAATAACTATCAGTCATCATTTAGTAGTAGTTTGGTGACTTTTAGTAGCTACTATTTGCCCAAAAAATATATAGTTGCACTATGACTAATCAACTGAACAAAGTACGGTATCCTACAATTTGGACTTAGATACATGCCTTCATACAAATAAACCTACCTCCATTTACCTCTATGCTGGTATGATGAAAACTATGCTCAATGAACTCATACTGCAGTCCAAGTTAATTTCTAACTTTTCAAAGTGAGCATAGATAAGCAACAATGAAAATATCAACATAGTGTAATAGATCGGGATGTGGTAATGACACAGAGGAAAGGAAAAAAAGCAGAATATTCATGAACACGGAAATTTATAGATAAATAATGCAGGAATTTTAATACACCTCAGTCAAAAGAAGTCAAGATCGAACCGTTCAATTTATTAAAGAACACAGTCATTTAAACCTCCCTAATATTATTCCGAAGTATAAAGTAAAAGCTAGAATATGCAAAAGTTGAGAAATATCTCCAGTTGGTCATAGTTCCCCTATAGGAAAATGGTGTCTCTATCGAAACAGAATATCCAGTAAAAGAACTACACACAGAAAATTCTAATCACATGTATTCATTTTCTTTTCTTTAACAACATTTTCATGCATTTTCTTAGGTATTAAAAACATCAAAGCACTATTTGCAAAATATATAATCCATCACGTAGAGCTCCTCAATCTGATGACTTTGACATAATCCGCTTTTTTTGACATTCACTTAAGTTCATGATTAGTAAACAGAAAGAAAGAACAAATCCCAAAGCATTTCAATCAAGCACCGACAGGATCCATGCCTGAATGATATTTGCAATATTCCACACACCAACTCTTTGTCTAAGTCTCTCTTTCTCCTTTATATTTTTTATTCTATCTCTAGTAGTTATTAGCTTTACCTTACAACATACCAAAATCAGTATAACTTTCACTCACTGATAACCAGAATCTCTGTTCTTCCCTGAACATTTAGCATGAAACTAGCTTCAGTATCAATCAGAGAGCTGAAACTAAGCAAGCTCCACTTCACCAATATTATCAAACACTTACAGAACCCTAAAACCCCAAAAGCACAAGCAAATCATACCAAACCCAACGAACTACTTTCACTAAGCTCAAGCTGAAAAAACTTCAAAACAATCAAAACAGTTAAAGCCTAAGAATCCAAAGCAAAATATCATATTCAATATGTTGAAAAACATGAAAGGAAAAAATTTACCCCATAAGATTAACGCGCAGGCGATTACACAACTCGACGAAGAGTTCAAACATTTGTCCCAGATCAGCGGCATTTCCGTGAGAATACAAGAGAGTAGCGGAAGCTTTAGGGTGTTTAATATGGACGGCGACTATGTCGTTTCCACGGCGCGTGCGTAGCTTCAAGACGTCAACATCATCCCTCCTCGGTACCTCCGGTATGTAAAGCTGACCACCGCTTGACTTGTCCTCCACCACTCTGTAAGACGGTGGGTTCGGCGGGAAGAACGCGAATTTGGCGGCAATCGACGACGTCACTCCTCCCATCTTCTTCTTGGCACTAATAGTTGTTCACCTTTCATTAAAGCTACCAAAATAGCTCAGCTGCCTCCGAAACCTCAAATCTCAATCACCGCCGTCCAATCTTCTTAAGATCTTTTTTCATTTACAAACAGCATAAAAATGAAAGAGAGAAGAGAAATGAAACCAAAATAGGTGGCGCGTGAAATGGTAATAAAGGCGCGTTTGCACGGGAGCAGCCGTCAGACAACGAATTTGTGGGACGAGAAACCGGATCTGGTGTTTTTTAAATGTCTTGAAAGCTGGGAATCTGAGCTGAATGGGATTTTATCCATTAAAGAGGGGTAAGAAAAAATAAGAAGGAGCGTGGGTATAGGAAGGTCCCCTGACGGCGAATTTGACAAATGATATGCACATGTATGCATGTATATATTTAGATCTTTAATCACTTCACTTGGTAATGATTCGCTTTGTACGGATCCTTTTATATATTGAAATTTAATTAAATTAATTAATTTTTTACATAATTAAATAAATCAATTTTGAATTGTTTTTTTTACACAAAAAAAATTAGGTTAAGGATGGCTTTCCAGATCAATGTCAGGACATACTTAAGATTCAGTTGAGATTTATATAAAAATTTACAGATTGTCCATCAAGAGTAACGGTGATATAATTCGAATTTAACTTTATAAACTTAAATTCATTAATATCAACTACTTGTGTCAACACTCATCGTCATTAACTTTAAATTGTTAGCATTACGTTTCGACTGCCAATTTATGAGACCTTGAAACATTTTATAGATATTTTCACTAATATTTAGATAGTCTCTCACTCTTAATACAGCTAAATAAATATTATTTTATCATTAAAATTATATATATATATATATATATATATATATATATATATATATAATCATGTGTTATTAAAGTCATACTATGACTTAACATCAGATAATAACATATATACTCGATATTACATAATATCAAACAATAAATAATAATGATACATAACATTACACAACATCGAATATCATAAATAATGAATATATTTGATATCATACGATAATCAAGTAATATACATATTATTTACATTTAGTATCACTAAGCATCAAATATAAAAAATTATATTTGTAATTGACATCACTAAACATCAAGTATTTGATAATATTGGCACATACTATCACTAAGCATCAAGTATTAATGATAGGAGTGATAATCGGTCTCATCAAATATCGAGTATTTTATCACAAATATCATGATAGAGGTTACTGATGATGGCAACTAATGGTGACATGTGATGGTTATGAGTATCGGTAAGTGAAGTGAATTTTGACTGGATTTAATATTAAATTAATATTTTATATAAAATTTAGGGGTTAAATTAATACTTTTATATAAATTTAAAATTAAATTAATGTTTTATCTAAAATTCAGGGGTTAAAATTTATTTATTTTTTACTAGCATATCACGTCAACAAAGTAATGGGAGCTAATGACCCATTGATTAAAATAAGACGAATTGAAAACAAAAGTGACCGAAACCAAAATTTTACAAAATAGGTGACTAAAATAGAATAGGCTGAAAAATTAAGGTACTATTAGTGTTGTTTACCTAATTAAAATTTGTCCTTTTAAAACTCGGGCCGATGGACTGGGCCAGTAGTGTTCCCTCTGTTCAGGTCAGAAAGTTTTTTACCAAACGCCATGCGGTTTTAAGAGTTGGGGATAGCGAAAAGCAGGAGAGGGAAAATGGGAAAGCAGAAGCAGGAAGAAGATGAAGACAACAGAAGAGAAGTAGCCATTGCTTCAACCCTTTCTTTGCAACCCAATTTCAAGCCTGTCGGAGTCACTCCTCAACAGCTTTCTAAGTTCCAAGTAATTCCTTATACTCATTTTTTTTCATGCTTAATATTGATGTTCAAATGAATTTGTAGGAACCTAAATCTTTTGCAGATAGTTTTACATGTTGAGATAATGGATGCTGAAATCTGGGGCATAGTTTATGATTGAAAAGTAACTGAACCCTTTTATCATCCTTAGCAGATACTTTTCATGGATTTAGATTGCAGTGGCGCGTTTTTTATCAGTCGGACTTATCGTAATTATAGTTGTGGATTTAACGATTTCTGTTTTAGTAAATTATTGTTGATGAATATCGCAAGCGGAAAGAATTGAAACCTTGGCCATGTCTATAATATTGCATCATGATTGCTATTTAATTCCCTGATACTTTTTGAGGAACCGAACCCTTCTGTAATCTTTGGCAGATACCTTTCATGAATTTAACTTTCTGTGATGGTTTTTGAGTCAGATTTGGGTAAGGTTTATTTTGTTTATCTCAATTTCAGGTATAATTAATGCTATTTTTTGTCAGTAGAGAGGGTCAAATCCATAAAATAGATAAGAAACTATAGAATTGCGTATGATTTCTATTCCTTGAAACATTTTTGTGGAATTTAGATGATGGGCAGTAAAACCATTTTCCTTTATGATTGAAGGAACCAAATCCTTTTGTCATCTTAAGCATATTCCTTTTTCTATTGAATTGAGTTGATGGCTATGTTGCTCCAACACTTCATGTTTTTTCCCCATAGTATTCAGATCCAATTTGTAGAACTGTGGATATGACTTCTTAGGGTTCTTCAAATATATAGAAAATTAAAAAGTTTTCATTATATCCATGTCAGACATTACCTGTATTTGATTCTTAAGCCGCAAGACTGAGTAACATGGGATCATGGGCAGTGGAATCTTGGCATTATTAGGTTTTAAAACTTGACAATTTTTTGTGTTTGATTAGGAGTTGAATGAGAAATGTTGTATAAGTTTTAATTGTTCTAGTGTCTATTTGATTGACATTTCCAGAAACTTCAAAAATCTGGGTTTGCTGAGCCTTGTCGTATTGAACTACTGGAAATTACTCCAGTGATTTTACTTCCAGCTTGCTTTGGGTTAGGGGTATTTTTGTTTTCTATATTACTTTGACTCTTCATTTTTCCTTGAAGTACTCTTGCCTGGCACTTATATCCTATGCATGGATGTCAAAATATGACCTCCAAGGGTTCTCCAAGTACATGAAAAACTTTAAAATGTTTCACCATATTTGTGTCAAACACAAGCCCGTATCCAACTCTTAGATGCAAATCTGAGTTACATGGTTTTCTTCTTTTTAGATAGTTAGGGTTATCTGGGAAAAATCATAAAACATATATCTACTTCCTTTTGTGTTGAATTTGAATATATGTCTGACATGGATATATTCAATTTTCTATAAGATTGTTCATATATTTGGAAGATCCTTAGAGTATCGTATCCAGTACCTATGTCCGAATATGCATCAGACACAGCCGGGAGAAAAACTGCAATATCTTAATAATATCTTAAGTCTTAGCCTCTCATTTGTAGAAAAAGGATAAATAATTTTGGAGAAATATTTATATTTCTTTATTATTTTCCTCATAGCTACAAGCTATGTTGCTATGACTTTTTTCTTCCGTTCTTGAAGCATTAACGTTCAATATCTGTGTTTAATGCATATCCAGATATAGGTATGGGAATAATACCATTTAAAGATCCTCCCAAATACGTGTAAAAGCTTCTAATGAAATTAAACATATCCGTGTTAAATTCTGACCCATATTTGATACTCACACTCAAATACGGTTAAAGTCGGTGAAAAGGATAGCTTTTGGGTTTTGAATGCCCCATTTATTAGTAATCTCTGATATTCTTTCTTTTCTACTGCATGATTTACTTCTGTATTAACATTGTATGCTATAGGAGCTTCACCGGAGGCGTTTACAAATAAAAGCAAAATCAAAGATCCACAAGAAACTAAAAGGTACTGTGGTTCATATCATTTATGTTGCTCAACTTTTTATTCTTCTTGAAGTATCAATGTCCAACATTCATATTCGACGGATAACCAAATTTGAATACATTGAAAAACTTGATCAAAATCTAATTACTTGTGTTGGTCCATGTTCATGTTCAATACTCACGCCGCAGTTGAAGTAAAATAGTATATCATTATCAATAATTTTCTATAGTTGGATTTTTCGTTCATCATCTGCAACCGCTTCTTCTATTCGTAGATAAAGTTTCGTGCTGAATACTTGAATAATTCATCATCTGCAATCGTTTCTTCTGATTGTAGGTCGAGCCGAAAGGTTTCGTGCTGAATACATGAATTCCGCAGATTCTCTGGAATCAGATTTAAATACCAGAGTTGAAGATGAAAGTGTTCTGGACCCAAAGAGCCACGGTGAAGATGATAATCCCTTTTCACTTCAAGAAGACAATGAAGTTGTGCAAATTGCAACAAAAAAGCGGCAGAAACTGCATTGGGGGTATGTTACGAACTTTCACCTTAGACTGTTCCTTAGCATCAACTCATTCATTAATGGGAAAGCTTGTTACCTGAACACCTTTTTCCTTAATTACCCTAGCCAAGACATTTCACTTTTCAGATAAAAGCATAAGCCATATAACCCTCCAAATATCTATTTTAAGAAGAAAAAAAAAGAACTTATAAAAGTTGAGCATATCATGTTTTGGATATGCGCACGTATCCAACACTCTATAGTCTATCCCAAGTCAAGACAACATTGCGGAGAAATGCATTCATAAGCAAGAGAATTGCTGCTCCATCTGATGTACTAACTATTTATATCCTATTTCTGTTACCTGGATTTTTTATTTTTCAAAAATACTTGTGTTTAACACTATATGTAATATTTATTCGGTTAGACATATAGTTGATCTTTCTGAATATAAAAGAAATGAGCGTGCTCATATCAGACATTTTTCCATATCTAAAATTCATCCTCGAGTACAGATAACCTAACTTATGCGTAGTGACATTTTGTTCTTTGCACCATCTTTTGATGCTCCATTTTATATCTTTTGTCTTGGTATATTAACAATTTCCAAAATTCTGATTTGTCCACAGCCTTGATACAAAGGAAAGATGGGAAAGGAAAGCCAACATGTAGACTTATTCTGAAGAAAAGAAAACTCGGTTAGATGTTGTTGCGGCTTTTGTGTCTTTTATTGAGTAAATCAGTAAACTTAAATGAGTTAGCTTCGGAGGAATCAATTATTGCATCTTTGAGGCATTTGCTAGTAGTATATTCGAGAATTGTTAATTGGCCGAATGTAAATAGATCTAGGACTATGGAAGACGGTGATATAGAATGCAATATTAAAAAAAAGGGCATAGGGAATGATCACTTGCTCTTAAACAGTCAAAGCTTCAATCTAACATTATGAAGTCTTTACGTGAGAATGAATCAAATCTCTAATATTGTAGAATTGAACTTGTCCAGATTGTAATGAGTCAAACTTAAGTAGAGCTATGAGTCAAATCAAGAGCTTGCTTAAGCTTCTCAAAGCATAAATTATACTGAGCTCAATTAACTTAAATTTCAAAATGAAACAAAAGAGCATGTCCTCAACACAAATAGGTTATTAGAGATATAACCTTTCAACAACTTTCCTACTACATTGAAAATCGAGCATTTACTTGGTCTGTCACACCCCAAAATAGGGGTTAAATTATAGTTTTCTGAAACTTATTGGTAGATTTAGGAAGTTATAGGAAATATAGGGATCTCGTCCATAATTTGCCCATTTTATGTGGTGAAAAATAAACCGGTTAAATCCCCCTATTGGTTAGAACCAAAACCCCGAGAAATTTCTCCCAATTCCCCCAAAATCCCTAACCCCGTCGATTCTCATTTCCTCCGATTATGTCACCGTCCAACCACCTTAGCCGGCGCCACTACCCCTAAAATGGTCGTCGCCTCGCCCTGACCAAAAGCCCTCTTACCCCTCGTCGAGATCAGTCGTCGTACGACTGGATCGAAGCCGCTTGGATTTGCTTCGATTTCAGTCGCCTCGATTGTCGCCTCACCTCCCGACCCCCGTCGTGGCCGCACGTGCCGCCACACGCTGGCAGTGCGCGTAGGCTTACTCTGCCTGCTCTGGAAATGTTCTAGAGCCGGTCTGGACCGGTCTGAACCGGCCCAACCCGACTCAAAACGATCAACCCGACCCGTCTGCCCGACCTATTTGACCCGACCTGAACCGGTTTGACTTGACCCAAACCGTTGATCGGTCAAACCGTTGACTTTGACCGAGTCAACCAGTTGACTGTTGACTTCGACTTAGACCAAAAAGTTAACTTTTTCGAAAATGTCATATTTTATGTTTTTCGACGTCTTTTGTCCAAATATGAAGTTCGTTTTGCCAAATTCGTACCTGCTAAGCCGTTTTCCAGTGAATTACCTTCGGATTTAATAAGGTTTTTCAATTAAGTCCAGTTTCTGACGTAAATTTGGTTGCTTTGTATCCGAGGAATTATTGAACGTTGAATTCAAGTTCGAGGTCGATCGAATGAAGTTTAAATGGTCGATCGATATGGCACAAAAACCAAGGTAATGCATTACTACTTGTTTTATGCTTTATGGAACATGTTAGTATTAATTCCTGCATGGATAAATATAATTGGTCACATGTATGTAGTGATTATTTCCTAAACTCGATCCGAATACTATAAAAAGTTGGTAACCGAATATGACTTATATGGCTCGCTTAAGAAAGTGGAAGATCAATCGGAAATAATAATAATAAGCTCGGTGATTCAATAATGATTTAATTAACTTCAAGATCTGTAAATTTTGATTAATTTCTTTTAGGTTAAATATCGGGAATATTTAGATAAGATGCTACCTAAAATAGCCCTAAGGGGTAAAATTACAAAAATACCCTTGTATTGAAAAAGGACCAAGACTTTCCCTAGTGGTGAAATTAACCTCCAATGAGCAAATGAGCAAAGTACTCTGAACTTTAATGGAACTAGAATACTTTCAAGCTTAAGTTATCCAAAGTAATTCCACTGACATAATTAGATGAAATGACGATAATACCCATAAAGTGTAATATGATTCGAAGCACGTCCAAGCCCTGGAATAACTAATACCCACATCTCTGAAATGAATAAATCAACCTTGAATATCAACATGACTTTATTATTATGACCAAATTGAACTGAACAAAAGTACCATATGTATCTGAATTTAATAAACGTCTGAAATTACTTTGAAAAACTCCGAAGTGACCGGGATAAACTTGACTACTAAATGAACTAAGTAACCTCAATAATTGAGGAATAAGTAAGTGATTTGGATAAGTCTGAAAACACGGATGAACTTTCATGATGTACTGTTTCTATGGGTTATGAAACACGAATCAAGTACGCCGACATTTTCTGATATTGTTGCAACATGGAAATCAAATAAAGATCATTGGGATATCTATTCGTTTCCTTAAGATCTATCCAGCGATGATTTTGAAGATGATCTATGGACAAGAATTGTTTGTATTAAATAATGAATGCCCTGGAAGGGAAACAAATTGACCGATCGACATGCATTAGTTCTGGGAGTTGTTCAGCTCAAGTTACTCGATATTCTGATAGATCGACACAAATCATAAATTCCGTTCTGAATCTTCGTTTCTCCCTTATCAGCTCAAATTACTTGAATTCTCCAAGAATATAATGCTAAAATGCTTCTGATTTTCCTGAATAATGGAATCACTATAGTCATGCCTAAAACACAAGTAAGTCAGATGCAAAGGATTCTGAATATCTTTCAGATTATTTAATGCCTCTGAAAAATGTCCCAAAACTATATGAGCCTGATAAATCACATTCTAAATAACTGATGATCCCGTCAGTTAATGAACTCTTTCAATAGTGATTTTAATTTCCGTCATTCTATCGGTATACTAAAGATCTGTGTTTCTCTGCCCGATAAGATTATTTTTGAGATTTATGGAAGCTCGAATCGACAACCGAAATGGTTCACCAAGAGGGGTCGGGTCGGTTTTTGTGTTTAGGGAGTAAGTAGATTGAAAGATAGAAAATTGCACAGCGATTTATAGTGGTTTGACTTCTCAACCAAGTCTACATCCACTACCTTAGCTCCTTACCAAAGATTTTCCAACAAATTCACTAATTTGTTCTTTCTTTTTCAAGGACAAAGAGATAACCTTTACAATCTCTCTAGTTTTTCACGGGCTAAACTAAAACCTTTCCCTAGCTTTTCACGGGCTCAGCTAGAACCAAAACTCCTTTACAATGAAAGGAAATGTAAACAAGAAAACCTCTTTAAGATAGGTTTTTATAAGAATTAAGCTCACAAGAACAAAATATTTATAAGAAAAAGATGAAATAAGATTGAAAAACTCTTCTCTTGTGTTTGATTGCTTGGATAGTTGTTCTATATTTTTTTCAAGTGTCCTCAGCTTGTTTTTATAGCTTGAAATGAGTTTGAAGTCGTATATAACCGTTGGGGATGTTTTGGAGCTGTTAAGGATTCATTTTCTGCAAAATAAAACTGCACAGAACAAGTAGTATCGGTACTCCTTCAATGAGTATCGATACTACCTTTGTAATATTTGATTTTTTTACTGTTGGGCTTGATATTACTGTAGTAGTATCGATACTCATTTTGCATTCGATTTTTTGAGTATCGTTATTATTCATTACTGTTCACGCAGTATCGATACTATTCATATAGTACAATACTATTTATAAAAAAAATTGTGCTCAATTCCAACTTAAATAGACTTTGAATTATTTTTGAAAACTTTTAATAAATTCAATTCAAGTCCAAAAACATTTTTCCATAATTGTTATATCAAAACTTAGTTCAACAATCTCCCCCTTTTTTATATAACAAAACATTTGAAAAATTGTTTTTGGCAAAACTTCCCCTTAATAAAATGTTTAATGAAAAAGACACCAATTGTTGGAAAAAATATGAAAATGTTCAGCTTCAACTTTTTCATTAAGAAATTGAATTTTTCAAACCAATATTTCTCCCCCTTTTTGTTATATCAAAAATAATTCAATCTTTAAAGTTCTAAAATAATATTGAGAGTAAGTGGTAAATTTGACATTTAAAAAAATCATTTGAAAAATCAAAGATCCCCTCAAAAAGTGCATTCCAAAATTTAGCTTTAAGATCTTGACACTTAAACAAAATTGAATTTCATCAAAAATTAACAAATATGTTAGTAACACATGAAATTCAATATATCCAAGTCTAAAATATTTTATGCAATACCAATGATTGAAATTAAGTGCATATGCATAAAGCTTTCCAAAAACGTTATGCATTTGAAAATTTTGATATCAATTGTTAGAGAGATATTATTTACATTTTAAATTACATGCATAAACATTTAAAAATCAAGGTAAAAATTTAAAATTTGTAAAATCAAAGTATTTGAAAAGTTGATATCAATTGTTAGAGAGATATCATTTGCATTTAAAACCAATTTTGACCAAAACTCATTATAATGAACTAAAATTTATGAAAAATCATTAAAACTTTAAAATGTTCATCACAATTTCCTCTTAACATTCATGAGATTAAAAACAAAACATAATTATTTAAAATCAAAACTCATGCATGCTTAAACCCAAATGAGCAACCAAATAACCAAAATCAAAAACATTAAGCTTAAAGGCTACTCATTCCTTTTTCACGTGTAGCTAGAGCATCTTGATTTCTTCATATTCATCACCATTGCTCTCACACACCTACAAGAGACATTTATTTCGATTTTGGTATCCAAATTTCTTTGGATCCTTGGACGTTAGTTTCAATGCCCCTTGTTCCCTTAGAAACTCATACTTGTCTAATTTTAAATTGTTTTCCTTTCTTCAAAGGACAAGTATGTTCCTTATGTCCATGATAATGACAATGTGAGCATTTTGCCATTTTTAAACATAATAAGTTGTTTTTAGAAATTAATTCTTTTTCTTTTGTTAAGCTTTCAATCTTAACTTTTAAACCAAAATTTTCTTTTTCTAAATCATTTATTTTGATTTTTGAAAGCTCTAAATCATTTTTCAAAATTAACTTTTGCTTTGAAAATCGATTTATTTTTAATTTTGAGTTTTGAAATTAATTTCGTATATTTGGAATTCATGGTCTCAAATCCCAAATACAACTTATTATAATCATCTTGTAACTCATCAAAAGAATATGAATTAAATTCATTTGAGTTAGAAGATACCTCGGGCTCTTCACGAGCCATTAAAGACACCACCTTTGTTGGTTCTTCTTTCTTGTTTCCATGGATTTCCTCGAGCCTATTCCAAAGCTCCTTGGCATTCGAACATGAAGAAAATCTTTCATAGATATCGGGACCAAATGCACAAAACACCATGTGCATGTCCTTGGCGTTAAGTTGAGCTTTCTTCCGTTCTTGGTCACTTCACTTCTTCTCCTTCTTCTTTGGAGAAAAGTAACTGCTATCGATCATCTCCCATGCATCAAGATCATTGGATTGTATGAATAACTTCATTAATTTTTTCCAATGACAGTAGTTTGATCCATTTAAGTATGAAGACTTATCGATCGGTAGGGAGTCTTCCATGTGGAACAAGCCAGATGTGGAAGTCATCTTCTCGGATGTATCATGAATTGGTAGAGCGTCTTCTAGGATCGTCTCAAGGATGTTAAGCCTTCTAACGAGTTAAGCTCTGATATCAATTGTTGGGATTTGCGAAAGCTCGAATCGACAACTGAAAGGGTTTGCCAAGAGGAGTCGGGTCAATTTTTGTGTTTAGGGAGTAAGGAGATTGAAAGATAGAAAATTGCACAGCGATTTATAGTGGTTCGACTTCTCAACCAAGTCTACATCCACTACCTTAACTCCTCACCAAGGATTTTCCAACAGATTAACTAATTTGTTCTTTCTTTTTCAAGGACAAAGAGATAACATTTACAAACTCCCTAGTTTTTCACAAGCTAAACTAGAACATTTCCCTAGCTTTTCACGGGCACAACTAGAACCAAAACCCCTTTACAATGAAAGGAAATGTAAACAAGAAAACCTCTCTAAGGTATGTGCTTACAAGAATTAAGCTCACAAGAATAAAATAATTACAAGAGAAAGATGAAATAAGATTGAAAAACTCTTCTCTTGTGTTTGATTGCTTGGATAGTTGTTCTATATTTTCTTCAAGTGTCCTCGGCTTGTTTTTATAGCTTGAAATGAGTTTGAAGTCGTATATAGCCGTTGGAGCTGTTGGGGATTCATTTTTTGCAAAATAAAATTGCCCATAACAAGTAGTATTAATACTCCTTCAATGAGTATCGGTACTACCTTTGTAATATTTGAATTTTTTACCGTTGGGCTTGATATTACTGTAGCAGTATCGATACTACTATACCAGTATCGATACTCATTTTGCATTCGATGTTTTTGAGTATCGGTATTATTCATTACTGTTCACACAATATCATTACTATTTATACTGTATCGGTACTATTCGTACAGTAAAATACTATTCATAAAAAATTTGTGCTCAATTCCAACTTAAATGGACTTTGAAATATTTTTGAAAACTTTGAATAAATTCAATTTAAGTCCAAAAATATTTTGCCATAATTGTTATATCAAAACTTAGTTCAACAATTATCCAGTATCTCTAAATAATATATGGAGTCTCTAGTGTGTTCTCTGATCACATAGATGTTTTCTCTTATTTCTATTCTGATTTCTGCTCTGATTTCTGCTCTGATTTCTGATGTATCTGTTTATTGGCTGAAAATGTTTTTTTTGGGGACTCTGGGATCTGGTATGAAGACTCTAACAGGTTCAGTCGTTGCGGGTAATTCCTTGTATTGGTTCAGCACCTACTTGTAATTCCTATCTCTGGCAGGTTCAGTCACTATTGGTAATTTCTTTTATAGGTTCAGCACCGACTGGTAATTCCTTATGGAATTTAGGCAATCCTTGGGTAGGCTCTGAGGCCCCGAGAATCTTTCTTGGGTAGGCTCTCAAGTCCCAAGGTACTCCCTTAGGTTATGCAGTTCTGGGGAACTGCATATGGCGTTCGGTTGAAGGGACTACTATAGTTTTGAAAACATGTTTTTAATGGTTAATGTTTTAAAAAGATCTGTATATTTTCACTGGTTTTGTGAGAACACACTAGACACCCTATTATGATCTCCTGAAACCAAACATCCAAAATATATCCCTCTGAACTGAAAGCTTATTGTCTGTTACTATCTAAGATATCACTGGGACCTCAGCTCAGTTTAAAAATTTGTATATGTCCAAATCAATAAGGAAACATATGCTTATTTGTTATATGCATGATCTGTAGCATCAATTAGTAGTATTGTATTATTGAGCTTTCCAAAACTCACTCTGTTACTCACTATTTCGAACCTGTGCAACTATCGACATCGGTAAGGGAGTTCCACTGGCGTTGCTTGCAAAGTACGATGTCTGTGTTTAGGGGGCATGTAGGTTGTATTTTGTTTTTATATCTGAGTCTGAAAATCTATTTTATTTCTGAATATTGGTAAATTTTACTTTTGTATTTATAAATGATTTTATGACTTTACGTGTTTTAACAGAAATTTTAATTTTTCCGTGATTTTTTACGGTGGGTCATTCCGGTGGCCCTAATGTGACACCCTGAATCGGATTGGGCCACCCTCATCGGTCTGAGGGGGTTACATGTTCATAGAATATGCATATCCATATCCGATACCTCCAAAACTGAGTAGCATAAAATTTGATATTAAAAGTATGAAAATTTACATACAAAACAGGAAAATTAATGTTGAAAAAACTTATGGAAATGACAATTTCTCGGAGGAAACCAAATAGCATATGCGTGCATTGGAATTCTAGATCAGATTCGATTTATTTATATAATCTACCTTCTGAGGTAACATCCGACAGGTTTATGATCCTTGACCTCTTTTGTAAACAAAACCATAAGCTCGCATATTCTTATTAGTGCAAGACCAAACTATAGAATCCTGTTTGAAAACCTCAGACGGTTTATACCAAGTGCTAGAACACATGCTGATTACTTTCAGGATGAAGAAAGTCCTACAGAGATAACGGACACAATCCATGTGACTGCACGTACCGAGATAAGTGTTAACGAGATATGGAGTTTATTCTCTGAATCTACCTGAAGGATTAAGAGCAAGCTCAATTTCTCCCAATGACCGCCCCTTGGTTTCGACGACAGCACCAGCTATGTACAAGACAGCAAGAAGACAGACAGCGGCGAATACTGTATATGCTGCACCGATTCCGAACTTGTCCACAACACTCAGGAAATACAGGCCGATGACGAAGTTCGATATCTGTAAGAACCGAAAAACAAAGTCTGACATGAAAGCAAGAAATACACTCAATCGAAAGATGAAAGCAGAAATATCAAGAATACTAGATAAATATGGCAAACATTTTCAGATCATGTTGTTTTAAAGAAAAATATATGCAACGGAGGAATTCGTATTAAGAAAGAATCGTTGTTGCATTACGATTACCACATCATATTGAAGTATCTACATGCCAATATGCTTGCAGGGATTTACATGCCGGAGTATATATCAAAATGCTTGGGCCAATTTTTTATCGCGACTTACCCAATGCATGCCAAGCGATAAAGCCACTGCTTTTGCTCTGATTCTGGAAGCAAATATTTCGGGAAGCAAAAGAGCAGGCACCGGACCGGCACCAAGCGAAAACGATAAGACGTAGCTGTGTAAAAGAAATGAAAATCAGCTTTAGATCTCTGGTCATTAGGAGGCGACAATGATTACAGGCATCAAAACAATTAGAAGCTTTGAGGAGATTCATTAATTGCATGAAAGGGTTTAACTCACAGAACAGTCCCAACAACGGCTAGCGTTCCAGAGTAGGGGGTCAGAACCTTCCAAGTGAATGACAATGACAACAGCAACATTGATGCACCCTTAGCGAGCCGAATAAAACCGAGGAACATGCCATCGAAAAAAGAAAGGATTTATTACTTACAAAAGAATCTGATGAGAAAACCATGCATCATATCATTTTGTAATTGTAAGCTTCGCATTTAGTCTCTACCTAACTAATATTCATCATGGTTTAAAATCTAAGGCCATCCATATTAGCAGAAATAATATCAGTAGACAACTTATTCAACCATTGGACGGTGAACCAAAATGCTATTTCGCAATCGTAGCTCTTCAAAATTCTACATTTTTCAGTCAAAATCCATTTAAGCATCCATGAAATTGGAGGAAAAATAAATGGTACAGATTCAAAACGGAGTTGTTTTACAAGCAAGCTAAAAAGTGATCTTGAGAACTTGCTCTGAGATACTGAAGTGAACTCTTCCGGCTACTTAATGATGAAAAATGTTCTCCCATTGGACACTTTAATTAATATTGGGTGCTATAAACAAACATGGTTTTATAATCCGAGTGAGCTTTTGAAATTAGAGAGAATAAGGGCCTATAGAACCAAAACTTGATTGCATAAAGTAAGATTACTTGCAGTTTAAGAAAATTGGTCATGATGTAGAAGAAAAGGGGAGAAAATGCAAGTTTATGTAATGAAAATGAGTGTTTATGTGTTTGAAGGCCCAAAATACAAATGCAGGTGGTTGTTTCAAAGAGCTTAACAATGGAATTCACACTGACATGGAAGTATGAACCTTTACGGCGAAAAAAAGCCTACCATTCCGGCAAAGCTTGTGATTAGAAGACTTTTCCTTCCTTGTCTGTCCATCAGAGAGGATGCAATAACTGTGCCTGCAAGAATTTCACTAGCTAGGAATGTTACTCGGACATGGGTATGTGTTCAACACAGGCATGCTCATTTTTTCCAATATTTCCATGTATTTGAAGAGTCCTTGGGGATCATATCCTCATACTCATTCATGTTCGTATATGTTTTAAATGCAGGGGAAAACACAAATACTTCAAGAGAAATGAAGAGTCGAAGAAACAAATGTTAAATCTCCTACATGAATTTTGGTTCCCCCTCCCCCAAGAACTTATGCTTTTTAAAAATGATTAAAGACTTACCAAAGACATTTGATGCACCAACAAGAGCACTAGCAGCAACATCAGATGCAATTCCAGCACTACGAAAGACAGCTGTAGAATAATACACCACGGCATTTATTCCGGCAAACTGTTGGAACAAGAAAAGTGCAGCACCAACACTCACAACTACAGAAGAAAACAAAGACAAGAATGAAAATTACCATTATACAATAGAAAGCATAAGATATGTGAAGGTGTAGACTTCAGGTTCAGGATAATCAGTTAATTATATGACCACTGATTCAATAACCAGAAAAAGTCCATCATGAGCTATACTAGCTACGGGAAAGAAGAAATGAAATTCAAAGAAAAGAATTATATTACATCCTCGACCCTTGAGTTTTTCATCATAGATCAACAAGGCATTAAGAAAAAACTGCAGAAGGGTATGGAAAGTAGTGTGGATGATTAAACAAAATCTAAACCTTGACATTAAGTACTTGTCATCTTTTGGGAACCAAGAAAAACTAGATTGACTGGTGCTGAAACAACCCTTCAAAGTTAAAATAATATGTTTTGAGAACATTGTCCCTTCAAGGTCATTTTCTTACATGGTACGATAGGTTTAAAATGAAATATGATAATTTTCCGATATTACCATCTGATCCTATTAGTAGTGTCCAGTAGCAATACTAAAGTTATGGTAGCACTACAAGCATTTGGTATCCAGTTATGGTAGCTTTCAATATTCAGGCAAACCTTTCCTGTATCGGCAGCTGAATAGATCAAACCATCCTGCTTCTGGTTCTGTAGAACCCTGACCTGCATTACTTAGCTCATACATAACCTCAGTAACTCTTTCCTTTTCATATAGTGTTCTTGTAGATTTTTCAGCTTCAGAAATTTTCCCTTGCTGCAAAATTGATGTAATTAAACAATAATAGTCAATATCATATATATCAATGTGAGGTGTTAAAAAATGTAAAATAGACCGAGAAGTCCAATAAGAAACCTGAAAAAGCCACCGAGGACTTTCAGGGGAATATGTCATTCCTACTGCCAATAAAATTGAAGGGACAACAGCAAGGCCAAACATTGCCCTCCACCTATAGAAAAATAACAAAGATAAAAACAGTTATGGCAAATGCTTAAGCAGACACAAAATTTAATTGCAAAAGAAATACAATTCTTAACTAAAAGTTTGGTACATTATACAGGACATTAAGATGTATATTGATGAAGGCATTACGTTGACCTATTCACTTAATCTCACAAAGACAAACAGACACAAAATAAAGATTGATCAGAAAGAATATTAAAAAAATAGACATTCCAACTAGTTGGATGGAGCTATCTTTTATTACAATTTTTGGGGAAGGGGGATTTGGGCCAAGCTCTTTGAGAAAAGGGATACAAACACTTATGATTGAGATAAATGCTTAGCTTCATACAGTTACAACAAATATGGTATGATTACAGAAAGGGGTGAACAACAAAGAAGCCTATTCCCACTCGATTGACCCATGAATCATATTGCACTATTGTGCTTTTTTTGTTTTACCATATTACTAAAAGAAAGGTTACCCTCAGGCTTTTGTGCCAGCAAAACAAATGAGGGAAATAAAAAAGAAAATACAAAAGCAGCAAAGCAATTAAATCCTCCATAATTTTCCGTCAACAGGTGCAAATGAGAGGAAGAAACGTTTTCAAGACTAGAAAGGGAAAATTTGCCACTAAATATAGCTACATAAAAGAAAGAGGTTTTAAGCATTTCCACATTTGTACCAAAAGTTAGAAGAGGCAATCTCTCTGGATTCATGGTTGATTGTACATGTACAAACATATAGCAAAAACCATAATTTGACATAGCTAATGCCAAATGACATGATATGTTCCTAGTGAACATATTATAGAAGGCGTAAAAAATTGTTAGAATAATATACCATATTGGGTTTCCTGATAAAGGTAATCCAGCCACCAATGCTGCAAGAATCCCAATACATATGAAAAGTTGGTTTACAGATCCAAGTGCACCACGGATTTCCGTCGGTGAGATCTGACCAATTGAAAGAATGTAAGCAGCTGTTTTCAGAAAGCTAGACCATCGAAGAAAACAGTAAGGATCAGAAAATGTTACCTCAGATATGTAAAGAGGTACAATAGCAGATGTTATACCAATACCGATGCCAGCCAGTAAGCGGCCAATTATCATAGTCTGGAAGTTAGGCGCTATAGTACTGAAACATTCAAGTCATTTAGGAACATTAGCTTGGAGCAAAGTTATGAGAGTTAACAAGCAATAGTTAATGAAAGGAAACAAACGTAAGAACTGCTCCGATGATTAGTGGAATAGCATCTAATTGGAAAGTTCGTGTTCGGCCAAACTTATCTGCCATTGCTCCTCCAGTAAAAGAACCCACTGCAGCAGCAGCAAGGAGTGTGCTGACAACCCATCCTATTCAAATCAAAACAAGAAGATTAGAAAAGTTAGATAATTCAGAGTAGACATATAATCAAAATAACCAAAAGTGAAAAAAGAAAGAAAAACAGCAGGCCAACAACTTGTGACGTTGCTTGAACAATTACAAGTGAAGCCACTTCATTTTTATAAACAAAAACACCATTATAGATGGACGGAATGGGTTCAATTGAATGCCCTTTATTTCACTCATTGCACTAAATATTCTTCAGCACTAAATGGGCTATGGGAATGACTTATCGGACACCATAACTCAATGTAAAATTTCAGGGGTGGGGTGGGGGACAAAACAAAAAAAGGGAAGGAAAATAAATGGTATCAGAGATTGAAAAACACAGTAACTAATGATCACGATACATGCCTTGTACGACAGCATTTTGAGAAATTCCCAGATCCTTAGATAGATAATCAAGAGCACCATTTACCACCCTGAATAAAGAAAAAGAAATGAGAAAAAAGGAGGGGATATAAGAAGTGAGTCACATTATCAAAAGCCATGCAAAAAGCCACAAACAATAAGCATAAAAAAGCGTAGCAATCCAACTGGCAAATATTGAATATGGATTCTTCGCTTAATTTCTCAAAACAGTCAACTGCGGTGTTCGTATATTTCCAAAACACTGGGAACATTCACAAACATCCCTTATTGCAGGCACCGTAAAGTTTTTGGAACTCACAAAAATGAACCATAATCAACTTCTCTGAAGCTTTGATATTACTGGAGAGCATACTATATGTTTCCACAGAACAGAGTGTTCAAGCATATCATTGAGATGCTAAGATTAGTAAAATGACATGTAGAACAAAAAAAGAAAGTATTTTCCTTCTAAATCGAAATGGGACATACCCTAGATGGTAACCAAACAATATAGCTCCCAAGCAAGCAACACCGAAAAATGGTAAAACCGATCCAGCAGATTTCTTCCGAGGGTTGATTGGTGCCAAATCCTCAAGATCACCTGCCATATATTGATCAAATTGGAAATTTTACTAATATAGATAAGCAGATTGTAAAAACTAACTTCTTTTACAATGATTAGAAGACTCGGAGTCTCAGATGCTTAGAAAATGACCCTTGTGCAGATCAATGAATTGAATAGCAAGTATACCTTCGTCCAATAACAGACGCACACACTAGTTAATATCTGGTAAGAAGCATCTCTAGAGTAGCATATACCCATCGTACCAACGTAACCAAGCACATATTAATGCATTTTAGTGGAAAGAATTGCTATTTGAAACTAACAGAAGAATAAATCTGTTAATAAAATCTGCAAGAATGAAGAACGTAACTAGCTATCCCCCAACAACACCATCACCATGGTGCTATATGAAATATTATGGCTGCCCAACCTCATGAAATAAAAATTTGTGCGAATCATTCAAACACTAGCAAAAAATTAGGCTCCTGTTGTTTTGGCTATTGTTTTTGCAACTTCAATTTTATGTTTCGAAGCAAAAAGTACATTTTTTATTAAAAACAAATCAACACTCCAAAAAATTCAAAGTTTATAAAAAAGCTGCCTTTTTATTTTCCACAGGGGCAGGGGCAGGGACCTTGGCCCCGCAAATGGTAAAATATCAAGTTTAATCCCTTCAAAATCTAAAGTTATAAAGGGAATGTAAAATTGCATTTTTGGCGCCAGAATGACATAATTTCAGTTTAGTCCCTTTAAAAGTTATATAATTATGGGTGTGTTTGGTTGAAGAAATTGTTCATTATTGTCTCTCAACTTGGGATTACTTCTCATTACAGATGCGCATATGAAGATTGCATATGAAGACTGTTCAACTATGTATTTATTTATTTATACATGCATTGCATTTTATCTTTATTTTAAAATTTTCTGACTGTCGGAGGTCTTCCACGGAAGTTGCTCTCAACCTGACGTTGGGGGCAACCTACTATCATACCTCCCCTTACCCCCATTATATATGGAAATAGGGTTTTGTTGTTGTTGTGCATTCTGACAAAAGGCTTGCAAGCATTACCCCATGTGAATGATAATTACCAACAATGAAATATTCACCAAAATGGCGGGAATGTCATTCCCACCTATTTCATTGGTTGAACAATAACATTTTAGACCATATTACCCCTAAAATTATATATATATATATATATATATTATTTAGATCTTCCTCTTTATTATTTGTTTATTTCAAGAATAAACAAAATTCTCATAAAATGATTTGATTAATGTTTAAGGATTAATCAGTAATTTTCAGTTTTGACAATGAATTTTTTTATTGACTCTTGACCAAATTGTTTAACAGGTCAATAATTTGATTAATTAATTAAAAAAATTGAGTAATTTTTTATATATAACTTAGATAAATTATATATATGTAAAATTTACCTATGTAAGTTTTTTTAATAAATCCTACTTAGGGGAGGAGGAATGAAAATTTTTAATCCTAATGGGTATTGAACCCATAATCTAGAGGAGATATAAAGTGTCCACTGAAAGCTTTTAACCACTTGCTCTATAGATTATTAGCTTGTAAGTTTATTTTTAAATATTGCTTAATTTATTAATTATATTAATAATATGTTAATTATAAAATTCTTGTAACATTAGATAGTGTAACAGAAATAGTTGAATGATTTTATACAAAATATTCAATTTAATATTAGAAGTTAAATTTGTTAAATAAAATACATCATAAAGAACAATTTGGTAAAAATTACTTTTATGTAATCTTGTGTTCTCAAATAAAACAAATTTAAATTCAGATAATCGTAATCTTAACTTCCATGAATCAAACATTAAAAATTATAAACTTTTTAAAAATTATCATTTAATTCTGACCCTAAAAGTTTTCTAGCTCCTATCCTAATTTCCCATTGATTTTTAAAGAAGGAAAAAGGAAGAATCAAAATTAAAAATCAATTTCACCTTTAAAAACCAAATTGAACCTAAATCATTCCTTTCTTCAAATGATGTTCACTACAACTATCAGACCGTCCAAAGTTCTTTTTTCATATACATAAAAATATTCTAAATTTGTGATTAATAACATTCTTTTAAACGCAGATAATAAGCTGGAGCAATTGGAATATTCTAAATATGCAATGTGTATAATATTCATTATTATGCGATGATTAAAAACATTCAAGAGAGGGAGAAGGAGAAACAGACCAGAAGCCTGAGCTTTGACAGATCGAGATTTGATCGAAGATTGAACGACGGATTCAATACTATCTCTGGCACGTGCGAGCTCAGCTCCCATTGAAACGGCACCAGAACGTAAATCACTACAAATGGAACCCCTTCGGATGCAAAGATTAGGATTCAAAGTCGACTTCCGTTCCTTAACTTCACCAAAACAATGTAAATCTCTCCGTTTTGAAATCTCAAACTCTAAATTTCCTTTTAATAAATGCGTCGACGCCTGCATTCTGAATTAGCTAATTCACCAAATGAAAAAGACTGTCCAACCGCCAAGTAAAAGCAGTCTGGGGGAAAATAGAGCATTAAAATCCAGAAATAAATATTGAAAACTGAATAACTGAGAAACGATAGTGAGAATGGGATTACCAAATCGAAAGGAAGATTAGAGAGGAGGAGCCAGTTTCTAAGTTCTGTTTGGATGGTGGAGTTTTGATGGAAACCTTTGGAAAATCCGTCTAAGAAGAAGAAGATGTTTGGTGGAAAATTCAATTGAATACCACACTCTTCTTTTACCAGTTTGAGAAAACTATATTAATTTGAATTTAAGAGGATCAAAGCCGTAAAAGTTAAAAATACAAACTAAAACGGAAATGGTAATCGAGTTCAGTGAGTGTCTGTATGGATGGATCTATGATTACGTGGCGTTGATTTTGGATTTAGATTTGCAGAAGTGTTACGGGTAATTAAAAAGTGTATCTTTATTGTAGGGTTAAGTATACAAATTGTTCCATGATTATAAGGTGTTATTTTATTAAATCATCTAACTATTAAAAGTTACAAAATGATCACCCAACAATTCATATGTTATAAACTTGTCATTTTTTATTAAAAAGTTGGCGGTTGTCTGAGCTAGACATTAACATGCTAACTAAGATATGATATTCGTTTAAGATTATGAGATCATATTTTATCATATCTTAGTCAACATGTTAATGCTCAGATCAGACTACCATTATTTTTTAAAAAAAAAATAACGAGTTTGGAACATATGAATAATTGTATGATCATTTTGTAACTTTTAATAGTCGATGACTCAATAAAGAGAAAATAACCTCAGTGACCAAAAATCTCATATAATATACGATTTTGACCATTACGCGATCTCCAGTATCGCAAAGTTGTGATTTTCCATTTCGCGTTGCGATAGTTTTAAAAATTCTATTGCATTTGTTTCTTAAGAATTTTCTCTAAAAATGTAATATCCGCGCGGACGTGTCGAAGACACGTATTACCACTACCACTACCCGAGACGAGACGAGACGAGACGAGACGGCGGCGGCGGCGCGCGAGAGTCTCTCTTGTTCTCTTTCACTCAACAAGGAAGTGCAAAATCCAAATCTTAAATATCATTCTCAATAGTGTTTCCAAAATTATGTGGGATTGAGCATTACCAACACTTAGATAATAGAGTATATTTATACAATGTTCAGCTCATTAATATGGTGAATCCTATAGTAGTTTCAGCTTTTTATACATTCAAAGATAAGCCAAATTCTATATATTTAGTCTTTGTATTTTATTCGACTTAAATAATTACGTGTTGATATATAAAAAGATAGTGAGATCGAGATAATTTGTTTAATGAATTATATTGTACAATGATTAGACTTAAGAGTGGAGAGAGGATGGTGAGGTGCTTGAAGGAGAGGTAGTGATTAGTAATTGAGTGAGACTAATGATCCTGAATGTTATGCTTGATGATCTTTCAAAATATTTAAAGAGACTCTATTATCTATGAATTGATAAAATAATTTATGAGTTGAACATTGTATAAATATCTCTTTCTTATAGATTTTCTTATGTGATATAGTTTGATATGATAGTGTAAGATCCGTGATATTACTATTGGTAATGCTCAATCCCACATAGTTTGGGAAACAATATTGTGAATGGTATTTAAGGTTTGGATTTTGCACTTCCTTGTTGAGTGAAAGAGAACAAGGGGGACTCTCGCGCGCCGCCGCCGCCGTCTCGTCTTGGGTCGTGGTCGTGGTCGTGGTAATACGTGTCTTCGACATGTCCGCGCGGATACTACCTTTTTAGAGAAAATTCTTAAGAAACAAATGCAATACTATTTTTAAAACTATCGCAACGCGAAATGGAAAATCGCAACGACACTGTAGACTATCGCAACGCGAAATGGAAAACCGCAACGACACTGTAGACTATCGCAACGCGAAATGGAAAATCGCAACGACACTGTAGACTATCGCAACGCGAAATAGAAAACCGCAACGTGATTTTCAACTATCGCAACGCGAAATGCATCGCGAATTTACGATACTGGAGATCGCGTTGCGAATTAGAAATCGCATTGCGATTTTGTTGGTCGTTTTGGCAAATCCAAAAAAAATTGGTCAAAATCGTATATTATATGGGATTTTTGGTCACTGAGGTTATTTTCTCCTCAACAAAACAACGCCGGGAGACTTTTTTTATAACTTTTAATAGTTAGGGAACTCAACAAAGTAGCACCCTATAGTCAGGGATCATATATATATATATATATATATATATATATATATATATTTCCCTTATTTTTGTTTTCTAAAGTATTTTTTAAGGAACTGGTTATTATACAAAATAATGGCATTTGTTTTAGAGTAGACCAAACAAGTATTTAAACTGGGAAGCCTTAATTACGTCGTAGTTAGATCCATGATCGAAAGATTTTATCCAACGGCTGATATTATATTCCCACCGGGACCCACATCAAAATAAGAACGTTGGAATCAATATTAATTAAAAATTGAAAACAAAATAAATAAATCCAACTTTCGTTCTCTTTTTATCAGACCGTTGCAAACTCAATATCTTTATCACATCTGGGAGAAAAAAAACCTTCCAATTTCATCGAAAATGGCGGACACGATCGATTCTCTGCATCAAACCCATCATTCAAATCCTTCTTTTCAACCGCTTTTACATTTCCTCGACCCATTTCTCTCATTCTTTCGCAGAATCATATAATCGAAAGAGGTCCCAGATACAGTTCATATGCTGAATTGAGAGAAAACAAGCTGAGAATGAAGTTTGAGCAGCTACAAGAATGGGAAGAAACCGAATTCAAACAAACCCCAGTTAAGAAACAAGTGGAATTCAGTTCGAATTCGGGGATTCCCGTTAAACGTTCTTCTGTTTTGATGCAATCGGTGCCTGATTTTTCATCCACTTTACTGAAGGAGAACCGGAAGCCGTCGGTTGGGATTGAATCGACCCCGCCGAGAACGGCAAAGAATTGGTCAAAAGCGAAGCAACAAGAAACTGAATTAAACAAACCCCAACCAAGAAACAAGTGAAGTTCAGTTCGAATTCAGGGGTTTCGAGTAAAGGGCCCTCTGTTTTGGCTCAATCAGTGCCGGATTTTTCTGCCACTTTATGGAAAGAGAACCCGAGGCCGGAGGTCATGGGGCGGATTGAAATGACGCCGCCTTCGAGGGGAAAGAATTGGTCAAATTCTGGGGAGAAGAAGAAGGGAAGGTTGGTGATGACGAGCAAGAGTTATGCAAATGTTGAAGAACTGAAGGCCATTAACGGCGGAAGCAGGGGAGGGAAGAGTAGTGCCAGATTATTTTAGAAGAAAAAAAAAAGAGAGGAAGAAAGCTCTGAATTTGAAGGATTCTGATTACTTGGTTCTCGTATTTTAGAGAGATTTGAGGTTAAAAATTCTTTTATTAGTTTGTTATTTTCACGAATTGACTGCAAATATAAGAAGAGGGTTCGCTGTTTAAGTATTTCAGTGCATCTGCAATTTGATATTTGCATTGCTCATCTTTACTTGAAGAAAATAAAAACTTTAGATTCATCTTGAATTCCGAAATATATATGAACAAAACGCAAATATACGAACTATCAAGACCACTAAATGAATGAGTAATTTGCCTTCCAATTTAGGGAACAACTAATGAGTAGTTCTTCAAGTTTGTTCAGCTATTACAGGAGTTAAAAGCTACACAGAAGATGAAAGATTATACAGGTACAAATGCTCATATACATAAACTCTAATGTCCCAAAGCAAAAATACCATCCTCCATCCCATCTTATGCTACTTGGACTCGGTTTAAGCAAGCATCCGATACAGGAGTGTCCTCTTAAACAGTTATATCCTTGCACCCATGTCCGAATATTGTGTCGAACACGAATATTTCAAGCAAATCAACATAGATCCATCTTTTACAGAAATTCACCAGCTTGGTCTTGATCAGAATTCAAAAATATAATTTACTGATTGCATGTCAACATGATATACAAGATACTCACAGATCACAGGGACTGTATGCAAATCGTGGGGAGACCAGGTCATGGACAATTTCATCGATTATGTTTTGAAGAATGTCCCAATCCATTTCAACACCAGTTTCGTATGCCTCTATATTGAAATCTGTCCATTTCCCCAGTGAATAACTCATCTCATAATCTAATAATTCATCAGGTACCATCCCAACTAGTTTTATCCACCTTTTAACTTCGACTGCAACATCTCGAATCAGCTTTCCTGAGTTCACGCAATACGGCAAACTTCTCCAAGGTCTGAATCCCGAGTTACAGTATGGACCATATTTGGAATCTATACACTCTATTGCACAGTCAAACAGAAATCCCCGAAGTTGATTGTTTTCTTTGAATTGATCGATACCAAGAACAGACTTGAAATCTACCTGCATGATAGCGACAAGAGTCTCGACTTCATCATATATATAAGGAGCCAGGATAAAATCATCTGTCCTACCCGAATCCTGGGGATTCAAATTTCCAAACAACAGTTCCGCTTTCAAGATAACCTCTTTAGCATGGATAAGCTTGTCACCAGATAATCCAAGACCAAAATTACTGACAACATGCAACATAGCAGAAATTCGGTTGACAAGATCAATGATCATCTCATTAACAGTTGTTTCATTGTCCAATGAAGTTGCAGAATCCAGAAGATCTGCATCAGGTTCCGTTTGTTGTGGTTCATCATATGAGAAATCCAATGAATCTGGTTGTAACCTATGTCCTGAACCAAATAAATACACAAAAAAACTAAATTGAATGGGGAACAGAAAAACCACATAATTTATGCTATGGTTCGGTAAGTATTAACATAAGGCAAAAGATTAATTTTTACACGAGTTAAAATAGTTTATCGTAGCATAAAGAAGAATTACTATAAGTCTAAACTTGAAATTAAAAAGCTGAGGAAAAACTCAATTAAAAAATAATAAATATTCAAATAAATTATTAAACAGATCTAATCAGAGCAGTGCATGAATTCATTTTAATCTGCATTTTCTAGTACTACAATACCGCATAAGTTCCTTGAAAAGCAGACACATTTCTTGACACAAAAATAAAAGGGCTTATTTAAGGCTAAGGTTTTGAATTTTTACCTAAGCTTTCATCGATGCTGCTGGAAACATAACTATTGTTCGAAAAAGAAGCTTCAAGAACGGAACCGGGGCTAAAATGATTACCATGGTTAGAAAATCCAGCTGAAGTCCCTTCAGCCTTTGCTTCAGTCTAAGAAATAAGGAAATAATATTTTAGAAAAAAATGTCAATTTATAAGTGGCAGGAATAGAAGTTATCAATGCCCAAACCCTCAAGCAACACACAAAAGCTTCATGAGAAAACCATATTAACAGCCAAAAACTACTAATCAAACTTCAAGTAAAAGCAATACAAAATATGCAGATTGGTGACAAAATAAGGAACCATCATTCTGAAATAATCGTCTGTCCAGTGAAAGGAAAACTGCATATATTACTATTCAACGGTTCCACAGTACCTATAAAACATCCATAGATATTTCAACAGCTTAAGTCAATGAGCTGCAATCTTAAACAACTGTAGCTATGCAACACCAGTCTTGTTTCTATTCAATAGGGTTGAATATGGGACAAAGTTTTTAGTTAAATTGCAGATTTTACGAACTCTGGTTAATCTAATTCAGACAGGCATAGTTTTCTTCAATTAATTTTTGCCAATTCAGTAGCAATTAGGCAGTGTATTTATAAAACTGTAATAACGTGGAAAAAGTCCAAAATTTCAACTATCTAAATAAGACTAGACTGTCAAACTTTGCTTTTGCCCTTTCTATGCAGGATGGAGGAGTTGAATATTGGATGGTGAACACTGATCCCACTCTCAAGGAATAAGAACTGTTGACCTATGTTACATGGACTCAGTTCCAAGTTTCAGATGCGGATATAAATCCAATAAGAGCATGGTTAGGTTTTCCTAAGTTTTTCCATTTATTTGGAGGATCCTTGAAGATCCTATCTCATTAATCATGTGTAGAACACTAGAACCGGACACAGTTAGTGGGAGCAACATAGCAACTGAACAACAATCCAGGTAATAGGGTTGGAAAAATGTTATTATGATTCCTACATGCATTTTATTAGTAATAAGTAGTACCCTGGTATTATCAAGACACGTGTCGTACAGAGACATCTAAAACTAAAGTTGAGACCAAAGATATAACATCAAATTCAGTGCATAAACCAGTGGAAGGACAATTCAGTGCCTCAGAATATAAACACCAACCTGGAAACCGATATCTGAACTGAAAAGGTGACCACTCCGAGAGTTAGGCTGCCCTGATGTTAAAGCAGAAATTAACTCCTGGAGAATCATGGCGGTTGATCTCTTTGGTAGGGTGCAACCAGTTTTCCGTTCATCCTCCTCTTGAGAAGTCAATTCCTTCAACTTTTGTTCCAAAAGTGCACTTAAAGCATCTCCTGTCAGCGGCAAGTTCTTCGGCAAAGATGTTTCTTCGTAATTGTTCTCCAATATTTCACGTCTTTGGAGGACAGTGCTTTCATTTGGGTCTTTTCTTTGCCCCTTCAATTCCATGGAAACGCCATGCTTTTGCTTTAATGGAGAACTGAATGTGAAAGAAATAATACCGGTGTCCTTTTTATCCATGGCTCCCTTACCAGTTCTTTGGCTTGTTGATCTGCTTTTAACATATGTTTGGTCCATGCTGCAAGCTCCATGTACCAATTCTCGCCTAGTCACCGGATTATATTTATCATTTTTTTCTTTTCCAATAGAGGAATTGATGAAACCTGTAGTTTCTGCTTGCCCATTAACACTATTGGTCCTCCTCTTTCTTACCGGAGACCATAGCTGAGACAAGGAGTCATCTCGAACCCTGCAGGAATTTCTCTCGATTTCAATAGGAGCACTATCCACTTTGATTGGCACTCTATGTTGGGTTCGACTACTTGAACTTCGGTTCAGCGCAACAAAATCTTTGGCCCTGCTAACAGCATTTGCGCTTGAAACACCTTTCCTACTAGGAAGACTATTTAATTTAGCCTTCACTGGGATTCTATCCCTGTCTAGTGATATATGATTATGACTTTGATTCCTCAGCTTGTTAGCAACATGAGACTTCTCATTTCTCTGGGATTTGCCAGGTTGGCTTGTTAAATTCCACTGAGCTTGAGCTTCTTGAGATATAGGACTTCTAAATGTATCAGAATCATTACTTGATTGTACACTGTTCTCTTCTTGGCTAGTAAAAGATAATGGTTGGTCATGGCTTCTCTGAAGAATTGCCTCTTTCCCTTGATCAAAAAAGGACAGCGAAGGCCTCAGCCAACTCTTTTCTAATCCCTGCAAAGAAGCATCAGCAAAATTTGGAGCAGAGGAAGGAATAACAAATGGTTGATCCTCTGACTTTGCTCTAGACTCCACAACGTCAAGCAAATTGCCACAGTTCTTGCATGATGTTAGGCCAGGCAAAGACTTACCAATACTAATATTACAAGCAGATTGTTCCAACACGTCTGGTGACACAACCTGAACTCCCTCAGTCGCAGCCACATTCTTACTCGAATAAACAAGAGAATATTTCGCTCTATTCGTCGCTTGCAACCCTGGTTCCAATATTTTAGCAGCTGCATCGATCAACCTCGATGTCCTAGAAGCATTCCTTGCAGAAGAAATCCTCGGACTCTTTACCGAAGGAACAAACTTTTGATGATGATGATGATGATGCTTCTTCGATCGAGACAAAACATTCTTAATTTGTAATGCCTCAGCTCCAAACTTAGTGACAATCCGTCTATCATATGGCTCTATTTTCTGAATCTTTGGAGACCGAGGCTCAATTTTCGAGCTACTTTTAGGTAAATCCAAATCTTTCCCGCTATTCCCACCTTGAAAATTCACCATTTTCTCATCTTTAAGATCGGAATTACTACCTAACGCCAGCGCTTTTCTATGAGGCTTTTCTCCATTCAAAGCCGGCATGGCTTCTAATCCCATTAGCCTAGCAACCAAACCAGGAGCTTTCATTTCATGCTTTTGATCCGTTTCTCCTACACTAAAAAGTTTACCATTTTTCTTCACATTCGGAAAACCCCCACAGTTCTCATCAGCAATCTACCAAAATTCCTCATAAAATCAATTTTATCATCATTATATAAGCAAAATAAGTGACTAATTTATGAACTAAAACACACACAAAAAAACCATCTAATAAATTTCCGAGAACATACCAAATGCAGTTTGGATTTGGGCATTTTTTCATCTCCTTCAAAGCTTTTTGAAGCTTTGGTACGGGCTGAGAAACAATTACAGTTGATTACAAATTCAATTTGAAAAAAAAATCAAAAAGCAACGAAAGAAGAAATAAACTTACGAGGAGAGAGTAATTTTCTTGAGAAAAACTTCTTCTTCGCAAATCTTTTGTTCCAATCAAAGAGTTGAAAGAAAATGCCTACACAACCACCAGGCCTATAAGGCTTCTTCTCCGTTATAGCTAGAGACGACTGTGTTTTCACCGCTAGTTCATTCATTTTGCTTAGCACCGACACTAAAAATTACCCAGAAAAATTTCTACAAAAGATCCAAGGAAATGCTGAAACGATCTCTAGTTTTAATCATCTGACAAACACACCCAACAATCTAATCCAACCCCATTCCAACCCACTATAGAAAATGCTAAACCCATTAAAGAACATACTTCAAAAAAAATAAACCCATTAAAGAACAAAAAGAGATGGAAAAGACACGTTAGTTCTAACAAAGCAAAGAAAGGGCTGACAGTGGTGAAAAGGAGCACTGTAGCAAAGGAGTAAGAGAATCCCACGAAGGGAAAGGAAAAAAAGAAAAGCCGTACAATAATGGAGAGAAAATGACAAGAAAAGGAGCAGTGAAAAGGAAAGGGTTCTCCACTTTTTAGTCCCTATTTACATGTCTTGACGCAAAGGTAAAAAGATTCTTTACAGAAAAAGAGAAGGAATTATGGGCTGAAAAGGAGTGAGAAAATGGGGTGTTTTATCGGACTGAAAAGACCGATGAGATGAAAAAGGTTTGAAATGGATTTTGGACGGAACTAGTGAAGGTGTTGGATTCGCCAGTAAAAAACAGACCTCTGAAAACGCCTAATCTCCTGCTGCTGTTGTCGCAGATCAGTTTCACGCGCACTGCTTAAGAAAGAAAAAAGCTTTTTGTTTGTAGTCAACTCCATGAACAAAAAGCTACAGCCTGCTTATACTAAAACTAACACGTTTCAACACTGGAAACCTTATATCAAAATTTTATACAAATGAAAAATATATTGTTATGAGTGAATTATTAAAATATTAAATTATGTAAAATACCTTATTTTTCTATTCATGAGAATTCATAGTACTTCTATCCTCATTGGAATATGATTTTTTTAAATGAAAGTTGGATCCATAAATTTAAAACATGAATTAACGATACACTAATACATGCAATAAAAAATAAAGATAAATTACAATATAAAATGAACGTATGAAAAAATTATAACATACCAAATGCAAATATTTAATAATATTTACAAATATACAAAATATTGGACTACTCAAAGTAGCAAACGGACCACAGATAGTACACTATCCACATATACCAAAATGTTCTTTTCGGATATTGAACAATTTAAATAAATAACAGTAAATTAAAAAAGAATATAATTGTAAATGAATATAATATTCAATGAATTGTTTGCAAACTATTTGTAGATCATTTATTTGTTTTTATTCATGAAGTTAAATAAACAAGCATGAAAAAATTATATTTGTTTACTAAAGGAACGGATCAAATAAAAATGTATTTGGTTCATTTATGTCCACAAATAAACTTATTTATTAACTCGTTTTAAGTTTATTTATTTAAATCCGATATTTTCTATAAGAGATACTAATAGTATTTTTATTTTTATTTATAATTATTAATATTTATGTTTAACTATTTCGTATCTAAAAAATAAAATTATGTACATTTATAATTTTTTTTATTATTGAAAAATATTTTTTGTATTATACCTAATCAAGTTCAATTATATATTTATTTAATATTCATAAACAAGTTCGTTTAATGTTTATGAACTTGTTAAATAAATATGTCATGAACATTAAACAAACAAATATAAACATGCACGAATCCATCAAGCGACTTCAATGATAAAAGAAAGAGTTGTTCCTACTAGAATTGGTCTCAGACTCGAGCAGTTACATTCGCAAGTTGTATGTGTTATTATTGACTACGAAAAATTATAAACAATAAAACATATATTATCTTAATATCATGTCAAACTATTCAAAAATCAATAAACATATAACTTTTAAATATACATAAATTTTATATAATTAACTAAAACATAAATCGAGTATAAATAAATATAAGAATTAATTATATCATATATCCTCAGAAGTATGACCCTTATTTTAAGTGATCCCTAAGCTTTTAAATATTCCAATTTCATCCCTAAACTATTATTATCATTCTAAGTTAATCTTCAAAATTTTGAACATTTAAATTTATCCCCAAACTATGACGTTCATTCTAAATTGGTCCCTACACTTATTAAACATTCTAATTTTATCTCAAACTATACGTATATACTAATCACATCCCTTATTAATAAAATCGTTAGGCCAAGTTATATTATTATATGTTTAAAAAACAAATTTTAAGTTAAATTATAATTGAAACTAATTACAATTTTACATTAATTTGGGGGTAAATTTGGAATATTCAAAAGTTTGGGGACCAATTTTAAGAATATCATAATTTAGGGGTGAAATTATAATGTTCAAAAGTTTAAGGACTAATATAGAATGAGAATCACATTTTGAGGATGAAATTGGTTAAAAATTTAAAGACCAATTTAAAATGAAGATTATAGTTCGGAGATATGTGATGTAATTAACTCTAGATTTAAAAATAAATAAGAATTTATTGGTGAAAAGCTTGATTTAGGACGTAAGGATGCATTTGGTTCACCGAATGTAAGATTACCAGTGAGAATATAAGATTACCAGAGAATAGGATTACTGAGAATGTTGTATTTTGTATTTGGTTGGTTTAGCAGGAATGTAAGATTACCGTGTTTGGTTAAAAGAATAAAAGATTATTGGAATATATATTTGACCAAATCGTCTTTACTATATATTTATTTTTTTAACAAGTTGAAAAATATTTATATATATATTTTTAAAAAGTTAAATTCATAAAATTTATATTTTTTTTACAAAATTGAAAATATAAAAAGGTTTAATGAAAGGGTAAAATTTTATTTTAACCCCTAAACTTCATATAACATTTTAATTATAGATTTTTTTGTAAATCTAAAATAGTTTAAGGATAAATTTATAATTTAACTTTTGTAAAATAAGGATATTTTTTAAATAAAAAAAGAATTTAAGGGCATTTTAGTCTAAAATACCAGTAATCTAACAATACCTAAAGAAATGGAGGTAATGACATTTCCGATAATATATTCAAAAAAATCTACTATAAATAATAAAATATTATCGATAATAAAATTTCCGGCAACCAAACATAAGATTATGAATTTCATTTAGATGAGAATCTCAAATTCCTTACCAAAAATCCAAATGCATGGATAGTCGGTTAAAAACAAAGGTAGGGGACAGGCTGTCCGTGAATGTGTAATAAAAGTCTACGTCTCTCTGTCTCCCTACCTTCCGCTGTCTTTACGGATGGATACCATTTTAGCCTTTTCTTTTTCTTTCATTTTCCCCATTTTTTAAACATAAAACTCACCAAATCTTTGACGTTAATTTACTCTCACTTTAACAAAACACCTTACAGACTCGCTCACCATAACAGTAGTATTTTTTTTCCCTAAAAAAGAGAGTTAAAACAATCGATTTTAATGTATGTGCTATTTTTAAAAAAAATATTTATTAGTAAACATATTGATTGATTAGGTAAATTACACATTTAATATTTAAATTATCAGTTTTGATTTATTTTAGTATTTTAGTATTTAATTTTTTCTTTTTTTCTTAAAAACATACATAACATTTAGCTTTTATTTTATTTTAGTACTCCGTCGTTAAAAACTTAACGGACGGGCTGAAGTGAAAGAACTCCGATGGATGGACGACCAATCCGAACGGTGGACCACGAGAGAATGATGAGTCGACCAACACAGTACAGTTTTAAGCCCATCTGATGGTGGACCATAGAGATCGAATGATGAAGAAATCAAAGAGTATATCGTTGATTTGGGGAGATTATGGTGTTTCCCGATGAAACAGAGGCCCGAATCGCGTTCATGGGGCAGAAAAGGTGCGGGCTGGAAAGTTTGGACTTCATTGACTGACGGATGTAAATGTCGAAGACTGTAGACGCGGTGACCGCCGAGCTTGTCCGTTAAATTTTTAACGGCGGTGTACTAAAATGAAACAAAAATTAAATGTTATGTATGGTTTTGAAAGAAATTAAAATTTAGGTATTTTAATGATAAATTTGGATTATTGAGATTAAATTCCAACTAAATCCTCTACCCATTAAATTTAGAGTTATAGAGTTAGGAGTTTAGGGGTTTGGGGAAAAAACAAGGGCAATGACCGGTCAATGGGTGAACGACGACAAGTAGGTGACCTTTCGGCTACGGAAATGATCGACGACGATTGCAAATGAATTTGAAACTAATGATTTTAAAGTTTTGAGTTTATATATATATTAAAGAAATTTAGGGTGTTTTTCCCTTAAAAATATTTTTGGGGAACTTAATATTAAATAAAATATGCAATTAATAATATGAATATTTGTTTATATTGGATTCAAATGTTAATTGTAATGTAAAGGTGAAACCTTTTTTTAAAACTATTATAGAAATTTAAAAAGCATACAATTTGAATGATTTTGGGATAAATAATTATAAGTTCAATGGAAGTATTGCAGGGGTGTGTGTGAGTTTTCTAGTTCAATGATTATGATAATTCCTAGGGTTTTATGTCTCCTAAGAGACAAAAGTATGGTCAAGTGTTAAGCATTGGACAAAGTTTGTTTGACCATTATTTGTCTTAACCAGCGCGTAACTCAAAATCAGCACATGCTCCATACAATCGTCTCTACATTCTTTATTCCAATTTCAACCTCATTGAACCCATTAAGAGAGTATTATAATCACTAAGTTCTTAAATTCCAACAGTTACATTATAAGAATATATACTTATTTCTTATAAATTAACTGATTTTTTAATATATATTATTTTAGAATCATTCCAAACTAATAAAAAACCATTTCAACATCTTATTATTATTTTTTGGTAATACAGTAGCACTCCTTGGGCAACTAAGCCTCCTTAGGCAACTAAGCCTTATCGTTAACCACCAGCACCAAGGGCACCACCTCCATGGGAGCCTGATCCTGATAAAGAGCCACGCCAATCGAACTGCCTCTCGTCATCACCGAAATTTTATCGGTCACCTGGTTGGCTTCACGATAAATGTGAGAAATTCTAACCTCCCAATCTCTATTGAGAGCTTCTCGGATCCGGGAGATAATCGCCCTGCTCTCATTAACTTGGGGTTGCTTATTGATGATCTTCACCGCATCCGCACAATCCGTCTCTACCTCCACTCTCCTGAATCCGAGGTTCCAGGCATGCTAAAGAGTATCGTGTATTGCCCACATTTCAACATTCAACGCACTGCAAAGGCCAATGCTTCTAGAGAAACCACATAGCCACTCCCCGTGCGAATCTCGAATCACCCCTCCACCCGCAGCCATATTCCTGGGACCACCGACAACCCCGTCCGTGTTGGCTTTAACCCGACCAACTGCAGGACACTTCCAACGGGCAGCTT